ACCACGCAGAACTGATCAGCTTCCCGCCTCTGCAGATTTTCCCCGGAGAAAGAGCCTCCGGTAACCACTTGACGGGAGGTTGGATGGGCCACAGCCAGCGTGCACGCTGTGAAGAACAGGAAAATCTCTGCCCTCGTCGGGAAACGAATCCTGTTTCCCAGCTCCATAGCAGCTAAACAGCAGCTAAGTCGTTAGGGTTGAAAATCCAGCAAGGCGTGGCGGACTAGTCTATTTTGAGTGGCGCGCATTCATTCAGCCAGTCAAGTAATTTCCTGCCTTTTATAGAAACACAAATATCCCTTGCCGCGTTCACAAGAACCCACCAATGGTATCCACACTGCGCCAAAGGAACCACCACACAGCCTCGCGCCTTATTTTGTATCTCATGCGTAAGAACGATAATTAGATTCGTTTTGCAGCTTTCAGTATAGATGTCGATGTCAAGTTTCGTTCAGTAATTTCGGAAATGGAATGTCAAACAGGGCCTTCTAACTTTATGCTAAGGGCGTATGAAACGATGTTCTGTAATGATGCTACTTGTTCGCGAGTTCGAAACGAAATGTTCCAAAAATGCGCCGCCTTTTTCGCTTTGCCATGTGTGTCTGTCTATCGGTCCGACTGTCCGCATGTTTCACTCGTGAGCTGCTAAACGACTATTTCACGCAAGTTGGTATTCAGAGGTTTATTACAATTTGCCGACAGTTTCAAGTTTTGTTAAAAATCGGGCAATCAGGTAAACTTCATATGGAGAAGAAAGACATACACGCGTTTTTGCACACATTTCAAGCATAACTTGCCAAAACATTTACAGGAGCAAAAAATATTTTCGTAGGAAAGTTTTCGAGGAAACTGTAATACGCCCAACACACCACTCCCATAAGTACTGCGGCTGTCGAGATAATTACGTATGTTGAAGGGATTTGCAGTTGTAGAGGTAAGAACTGAGGAACCGCCCGAGAAGTGTCACGCTGTGTTTACTTTCCTAACTTGCCAAACTCAACTGCAGCTTTAATCGTGAGAAGTCAACAACCTTTTCTGGTTGCCTTGGTAACCTCTCACAGCTTATCAGAACACAAGAGCCACTCATACACTATCAGCAGCAAGCCAACAGTATTTCCTGGTTGCCCTGGTAACCTCTCAGCTTATCAGAACACAAGAGCCACTCATACACTATCAGCAGCAAGCCAACAGTATTTCCTGGTTGCCCTGGTAACCTCTCAGCTTATCAGAACACAAGAGCCACTCATACACTATCAGCAGCAAGCCAACAGTATTTCCTGGTTGCCCTGGTAACCTCTCAGCTTATCAGAACACAAGAGCCACTCATACACTATCAGCAGCAAGCCAACAGTATTTCCTGGTTGCCCTGGTAACCTCTCAGCTTATCAGAACACAAGAGCCACTCATACACTATCAGCAGCAAGCCAACAGTATTTCCTGGTTGCCCTGGTAACCTCTCAGCTTATCAGAACACAAGAGCCACTCATACACTATCAGCAGCAAGCCAACAGTATTTCCTGGTTGCCCTGGTAACCTCTCAGCTTATCAGAACACAAGAGCCACTCATATACACTATAAGCACCAAGCCAGCAATATGTCCTGGTCGCCCTGGTAACCTCTCACAGATCACTACAGCCACTCATTACACTATCAGCAGCAAGTCAACAGTATTTCCTAGTCGCCCTGGTAACCTGGCACAGGTTACAAAATCACGAGGGCAGTTCTCCAATACAAAATGTCACGTGATATGCTCAAAACGAGGATCAAAGCTCTTGTTATGCAGCCATAGTTCAGCTAATGGACTTGCAAGTATTGCTGTTACTTTCTAACACGATTCGTGTGTTATCAATAGTAATTATACGAGTAAATCTAGTTGTGGGATGATTCATGTATTGCACTGAAACGGAACCTTGGCATGACGCTCAACACACGAACAAGTGGGAAGGAAAAAAGCAATTAAAGCCTAATGATTATGTTTGTGAGCTCGCCTAGTCACTGGCAGTTCCTGATTAGTGACGTGTCAGCGAGCGAACAGTGTATTGATTAATTATATTAAGCTCAGCAGTGCGCAAAATATCTCGTAAAGAATTCGATTTTCAACGGTTCTATAAGAATGCAGTTGTACCTGCGACTGACAGCATGCGTTGCTGAAAATCTGTCGTACATGGGAGTTCATAACATGGGACGTACAGGGAACTCGAGGCTCCGACCCGTTTCTCTATATTTATCCTGTGACCATTAAGGTATAGTATTAAAGATATTAAAAAATAGGCAAGTTAATAAGTACGCTATTTTGACTCGTTAAAATTCGAACACTGCAACACGACTTCGGTCAAAAATTCGAATTTCTATTCGTAAGTCTGAAGGCCGCGCCATAGCTCAAACGGTTAGTCGCTGGCTTCCCACCGCGGCAGCCCGGGTTCGATCCCGGGGTCTGGTCAAGTGGGATCTGTGATGGACAAAGTGGCGCCGGGGCAGGTTTTCTCGGAGTATTTCGGTTTCCCCTTCCAATCTTCATTCCACCAACTGCTCCACAATCACCCTCATCTATCATCTGGGGCTGGTACAATAGGCCAGAAGTGGCCGCAGTACAAGGGACTTAGTCCCACCCCCACTAGCATTAAAAAAATTAAGTCCGAAACACCGGAGTGTATGGTTAATGGGATGTCCAGAGAGTTGTTAAGTCAGCGAAGTAGTGCTATGGGGCTGATACAACTACAACATTACTTCCCTCTACAGTGGAGACAGAAGTTGTGGATGCAAAAATATAAATCCTTTAAAGCTTCGTAGGACATAACGCCCTGTAGCCCTCTGAAACTCGACTGACGTTTCAGAGGGACATATCTCCCCTACCTTTGTGACCAGAAGAGTATTTCAAGCAAGAAATCGGCGTGAGGCAGGCTCATACTGATTTTTTGCTGGGCTCACTGTTCGACCCTCAAGATGGAAGTGATGTGCTTCCGAAAGGTCGACTGACTTTCATCGGGCTACACGGAGTTATGTCCCAATCACCGCTTTGAAAATCTCAAATACGAGTATAACAGAATTTGAATTATTTACGAAAAGGAACAGAAGATAGCAACACTAACAGGCAGTGGAAGTTATGCTTCAGTCAGTATTGAAGTGTTGCACTTTGTTAATATATGCCACGTTCTGAAACCACACCAAGTGCAGATACAGAATGTCACAATACTAGGTCAGCATTGCCATGGTGCCCTCCAAATGCTCCTAACGTCTGGTTCATTAGGGTTCAGCGCTGCAAGACGTGGCTGTAGAATTTCACGATATAATTTTCTAAGGTCAACGCACGGTACAATGATTCATCTGTTATCGTCATGACATAAAAATATTTCGCGTGAACTTTTTTTTACATTTCTTTAAGATAGCCCTACTTTAAAAAAAGCTGCTAAGTTTCAAAACGCGTATCCCTACAGGATACAGTTTCTGGCCGTAGCGTCGTTCTTCTGTTCCCTCGTTATATGTCCGTAAGGCCGCCGTGTTAGAACTGTGATGACAGTTAAGTGTCAATACTGAGACTTCTGAACTGATAGCGACTTTCACGAAATTCGCCGTGTCGCTCCCGTTGAATGGTCAGAAACACCTGCCCCTCTCCCTGCAGTTTCTGAGAAAAAATGAAACTTAAAATGGGGAAATACGCCGAATATTAAAAGTCCCTGCGCATAAACATTACGCATCACGCCATGAAGATGCGTGTGGGAGTGGAGGTATAGCTCCACCACTCGGCACTGTATGGAGATTGGTCAGCTACAAGCCCTGGTGCACATTGGATAGGAGGCTGGGTGGGCCCTAGAACCGGTCTGGACGGTATGGAGTAGAGAAAACATCTTGCCCCTGCCGGGAATTGTGCCCAGGCTGTCCAGTCCGTACCCCGGTCGCTACAGTGACAGAGTTATCCTGCTGCCCTATCTATCACGAACACGTGGGTTCCTCTCAGAACTGCCTGCGATGAGCAGATACCAGCACTAAGGTCACCGCTGCGTTTCATTAGGCTCAGCAGTAGTTTTTCGCACGCTCCGGGTTTGTCCATGGCTTATCACGCCCGTTAACTTATCCTTGGCGACATTGCTTCACTTCCTTTCGCGTTCCAAACTCCCGACCCTCCCCGGCTTTTGTGCCAGTGCACAACACAACATTAAATCAACGAAACACGTCCTTCAGAATCTGCCAGTTCATCAGCTGGTCACATGTATTCATTATCGCGAATATTGTTCTCTTCAGTCAAGATGGAGGCATTTTTTTACTCCGAAGACTTTCTAAATCTTTATCATATTACAGGGCGTCCACATGCTAGAACAGTATTCTTCATAGTCACCGCCAGCTGTCAAGAGACTCAGATCTCGCATGCATTACCGTATTCACAAGGATCCGTCACTGGACCTTACCCTCAGTCACTCGAATCTAAACCACAGTTTATTCCATTAGGAGCCCGGATAGCGTAGTCTGTATAGCGACTGGCTATGGGCTGGACGACCGGGGGGTCGGAGTTCGAGTCCTGGTAGGGTCAAGAATTTCCTTCTCGTCGTCCAGACTGGCTCTGTGGCCCACCCAACCTCCTATACAATGGGCACCGGGAGTTATTTCCCGGGGGTAAAGCAGCCCAGGCGTGAAGCTGGCCTCTCACCAACTAGTGCGAAGGCAAGAAAATATGGATCTATACATCCACTACCCCATACGTCTTAATGACGTAGTGCTTAATTAGTTATACACAGGGACAACTTTACCCTATTCCATTAACATTCATTTTAATATCCCTCACTTATGCCTACGATCCCCAAGTGATCTCTTCCCTTTCGAGTTTTCCCATCAATCTCTCCATGCATGCCACGTGCCCACTCCATCATCCCATACTTCATCACTCTAATCATATGGTACGAAGAATACGAATTATCACGTTCTTCTCTGTGTAACTGTCTTCATCTTGCTAAGTACTCCCCCTCAGCTCCGATTTGGATAAGGGCAGTGTCCTGAAAGGTACTCACCCCGGGTCGAGAGGGCAATGAACGTCTGGGCGTGCCTGTGGATCATGTGTGCGTCCCACGTGTTTCGGTCGATTGGCAGTCTCACCAAAATGTGCTGGAGGAAGTCCTGAGGTGTGACGGCGGCGATGTCCCACTTCAGCTTGGACAGAACCAAGAGTTCCCAACTCTGAAACATAGTAAGATTCTGTGCTACAGTGCCCTTGTCTGAAACAACAGAATTCGATGCTGCAGTTCCAAACTCTGAAACATGACAACATTCAGTGCTAGTTCCCAGTTCCGAAACAACAGAATTCGATGCTCCAGTTCCCAACTCTGAAACATGACAACATTCAGTGCTAGTTCCCACTTCCGAAACAACAGATTTCGTTGTACAGTTCCCTTATCTGAAACAACAAAATTCAATGCTAGTCCCCTGGTTCCCATATCTGAAACAGAAAAAAATTCAATGCTACAGTTCCCATATGTGAAACAGAACAAAATTCAGTGCTACAGTTCCCATCTCTGAAATAACAAAATTCAAACCTACAGTTCCCATCTCTGAAATAACAAAATTCAAACCTACAGTTCCCATCTCTGAAATAACAAAATTCAAACCTACAGTTCCCATCTCTGAAATAACAAAATTCAAACCTACAGTTCCCATCTCTGAAATAACAAAATTCAAACCTACAGTTCCCATCTCTGAAATAACAAAATTCAAACCTACAGTTCCCATCTCTGAAATAACAAAATTCAAACCTACAGTTCCCATCTCTGAAATAACAAAATTCAAACCTACAGTTCCCATCTCTGAAATAACAAAATTCAAACCTACAGTTCCCATCTCTGAAATAACAAAATTCAAACCTACAGTTCCCATCTCTGAAATAACAAAATTCAAACCTACAGTTCCCATCTCTGAAATAACAAAATTCAAACCTACAGTTCCCATCTCTGAAATAACAAAATTCAAACCTACAGTTCCCATCTCTGAAATAACAAAATTCAAACCTACAGTTCCCATCTCTGAAATAACAAAATTCAAACCTACAGTTCCCATCTCTGAAATAACAAAATTCAAACCTACAGTTCCCATCTCTGAAATAACAAAATTCAAACCTACAGTTCCCATCTCTGAAATAACAAAATTCAAACCTACAGTTCCCATCTCTGAAATAACAAAATTCAAACCTACAGTTCCCATCTCTGAAATAACAAAATTCAAACCTACAGTTCCCATCTCTGAAATAACAAAATTCAAACCTACAGTTCCCATCTCTGAAATAACAAAATTCAAACCTACAGTTCCCATCTCTGAAATAACAAAATTCAAACCTACAGTTCCCATCTCTGAAACAGCACAAAATTCAATGCTACAGTTCCCATATCTGAAACAGAACAAAATTCAATGCTACAGTTCCCACCTCTGAAACAGAACAAAATTCAATGCTACAGTTCCCGTATCTGAAACAGAACAAAATTCAATGCTACAGTTCCCATCTCTGAAATAACAAAATTCAAACCTACAGTTTCCATATCTGAAACAGAACAAAATTCAATGCTACAGTTCCCATATCTGAAACAGAACAAAATTCAGTGCTACAGTTCCCATCTCTGAAATAACAAAATTCAAACCTACAGTTCCCGCATCTGAAGGAGAACCAAGCTGTAACAGTTTGCGTACTGAATTCTTGTCCCGCAGTAGCACAAAATCAACATATGAAATCTTTATTCTCTATTGGTTTGCTTATGTAGCCTTGGTGTTCATTTATTAAAGCAACAAATCTGGCATGACAAGCCATCACACCGCGCAATCGGAATATATTTCTCGTTACAATTCATTATTTATCACACTGAAAAATGACTGAAATAAAATAGTCCTTCTGCTATGTCATGAGAAAGATTTCTATACGTTTTTTTGTAGACGCATGATGTAATTCGTTTTTTCCCATTATGTAGGTTATACTGAACTCCATGAGCTGATTTATGTCACAGCTACTCAATAGTTTCCCAACATTTTATGGAACCTGAAGGTTCATTATCGTGTCAACAAGAGCCCGCCATTAGTCCCAATTGTCAGCCACATAAATCCAGTCCATACCAACCCATCGCAAATGAAGTCTTTAGTTTATGTGGTGTACTCACAGTAGCCTCTAGAGCGTCATCACTGTTCACAAGACTTAAAGTGTTGTAATTAATTGTAGTTCCACCTGGTTAACATCCAATATATCGACTCACGGATCCAAACCCGCGTCTAAGTCACTAATACACGTGACAGTATAACATTTAATTAATAATGGAGTGATATATAAGCGAAAATTACATTAGCTCTGTCACCTGAAGTGTTGACCTCAAGGTTTCCCTACAGCCATGTGCCGAGTCAGCAGATGAAGACCAAGAATGTGACAATGTGCTGCCTGGTAGGGTCGAACACACGCCTCACAGGGCAGTGATGATCACGGAACAATGGTGGAATGATAAATGAGGGGAAACCCTAAGAAACCCGGAGAAAAAATGCCTCTTGCTCCACCACATATTTCAATCATCCGGTATGGAAACCACGGTAAAAAGACCTGAGCTTGGCACGGCCCAGTAGACCTCCAATGAGGAATTTGCTGTTAGTGAAGTGGAGGCGAAACATGCGGGCCTACTAACACCCACTAAAAATGTATGCAGCCCGTCCACGAAACCGCAAAGCAATATGTACAAAGTGACAGCTTAGTGGGAACCAACAGCCACTGTGACACTGTGAGTCTGTCGAAATTCATCACACTGAAGGCAGAATGTGAAATGAGTCACGTGTTACTTACGTATTCATGGAATAAAGAGTAGCCTCTTAACTTACTGCGTATATTATAAAAATAGTTCTATATAAACGCAAACGCTACAATAAACTTTATTATTTGAGAATGCCCATAATTCTGAAGTCTGCTCAAAAACGTTTAGGAAAATTGAAGTTTCTATCGTCAGGTGTAATAAGCTCCTACAGGGGTAAAGATAAAGCTATCCCTGTTAACAGGCCGTGAAGGCCCATAGAGTTATGAGACGTTGAGGGTCGCACATTATCTAGACAATCGGCTCACAGATGGCGGTGAGGTTGTAAGCCAGCCCTGTTCAACGCGGCGCCCATGGTATATTTTTCTGGCGCCCTCCGTAACCACATATAATTGAGCCGATTTTCAATATTAATTCAAATTGTAAGACAAAGANCACAGCACTGTTGTAAGCCTTACGTGCCGGCCACCCTTTACCCCCCCGCCCAAGATTCCTGGTACTCATTTCTGTTGGCGGCTGAGTGTACCCCAGGGCCACAATGTGGTTGGAAGGACTGCGTCAATTAGAGATATCAAATGACCACGTCGGGAATCGAACCCGTGACCTTCCGGCTTGTGGCATAATGTCTCAACCATTCACCGTACAGCGTGCCCCCAGATACCGACAGCGCTGTAAAATAAATCACATTCAGATTTTGCGTGATATCGAAACCCTGAAAGGGAATCTGTGGGTTATCTCAGTGGCAGATGAACAGACCGACATTGTACTCCGTGGAAGAGAAAAATGCGTGATGCTTGTACTCTTCAGCGGATATAAGTAGGAAGGGTAACATAGGAGACTTGCATCTCGTGTTAGAGACGAGTGATGTGTACAGGATGCTCCGACAGAAAACCTGAGGTCGCTTCCGAGACCTAGATGTAGATGGGAGTAAATTATCTAACTGCATCTTCGACAATTATGGTGGGAAGTTGTGGATTAGATTCAAATGAGATAGGTAAGGTTTTGTGAACACGATAATGACCGCCTCTGTGGTCTAGTGGTCAAAGTTCCTGGCTACAGACCACAGGTACGGTTGCGATTCCCGGCGCTACCAGATTTTCTGAGTAGTGGGTCTGGAACGGGGTACACTAAGCCTCGTAAGGATAACTGAGGAGCTATTTCAAGGAAATAGCAGCTCACGTTAATAAAACCTAAATTAACGGCCGTGGGGATTCGTTGCACTGACCACGCTACACCCTCTATCCGCCAAAGTTGGCAGTAACTTCGCCTACAAGCGGCGGTAGCTCCGTCGGTATAGTTCGCTTGCGGACTAAAACCACGGAGTGTTTTCTTTGTTTGATAATGAACTTTTGGGTTCCATAAGATGGTAAGAATTCAACCATCTCAATAATCCCAGGAGTAAAGCAGTGCGGAACGTGAATGTAACTATTCACCTCCAACTAGTGCCAGGAATAAAAACGGTACAGACATACCTCCTCCACACAACCATACGTCATTAACACAGGATTAATTTACACTTCTACGTCATTCAATGAAATGTCTCGTGCATACCTTCAAACGCGCTTTCGTTTCATGCAACACGGCTTCACAACCCGTCACTCAACTCCATTTACTGTCGCTACGACAAATGCGGTGCATAATTATGTATCGTGTATAGGGGCCACTTAGCCGTCTGCACAACGGCGGCCATATTTCAATCGGTTTGGAAAAAAATGGCGGTTCTAAGAAGTCATTTATCGCTTTTAAGTTCCTAAACGCTAGAATATTATATCGCTGACGTAGTCTCTGAGGTTTTTTTTTATAGATTCAGCAACTCCTCATTAGCTCAGACTAAACAGTGTAGAATGGTTGAATAACTAAGTACTAGTGAATTGAAACTGGATATTAGAACAAGTGGTCGTCACCTGTTGCGATAGTAACCCGATATTTGCCTGGAATTTCTACCGGACTACACGGCTTTACATCCCGAAATATAGTACTTTTCCATACTGTCTGTTTTCCTGTCTCAGATTAAACCACGATCGCTTCCCAACCCCTTCCAATTCACTAATCGTCCTGTTTGCGACGGCGCAGAGCTACTTGGGGCGCTGTCAATTAAATCACACAACAAGCCTTTCTTTCATATGAAACGTGTCCCTCACTTAACTAAGTACCACGCCATGAAGACGTATGACGGTGTGAATGCATAGACCCGCGCATTATTGACCTAGGAACTAGTTGGAGGTAAGTGGTTAGCTTCATGTTCCGGTCAGTTTACCCCCGAGGAAATCTCCCCCGGTACCCACTGGATAGGAGACTGGTTGGGACCCAGAGCCGGTCTCGATGCTATGGAGAAAAATCTTTCCCCTGCCCGGATATCGACCCTCGGCCGTCCAGCCCGTAGTTATACCGAATATGGCGACGGACCGCATA